TTTTTTGCCCCCCCCCCCCCCCCCCTCCTCCCCCTTTTTTTTTCTTCAAAAAATGCATTTTGCAGTAGTGTTATGATGGAGAATGTATGATTAAAAAATAAGAAAAAGTTTTAGGTTTACATGTAATATTATTTTATTAAATAATGTATTATTGAAATGAGGTCAAATCACTGTTCAAGAATACGTTTTGATGAAAAAAAATAGGCTCATACAAGAGCTTAATCTACACTATACAAGGCTTAACAAAGAGATATTTCCTGCAATATATATTTTGAATTAGAAAATATGTTTTCTTAAGAGTTCAATTTTATATGTTGTGCGGTTCAATTATGTCGAGTAACGTACTACATACATTTTACACTCCTTTCCTCTTCGTCCTCATCTTTCCTCGCTTCAAAAGTCAAAATCTGTGTGCACTTAACATTATAATTGATTATCTACTTATTAATAACGTCACGAAAGCACCCCACATTTGCAAGTACTCCATTAAATTTCAGCTACCAATCTTTTTCTAAAAAAATTTCCCTCGCTTGAAGAATGAGTTTGATGCTCGACGAGAAAGATGATTTGATAGATATTACAACCTTAACAGGGAAGAATCATAAAATTTACCCGATCCCGGGTTACAAGAGTAGTTAAATATTGTGAAAAATGTTGTGAAGTGATTTCTTTTTAACATATTGTTATGTTAAATATGCTCGTCGAGCTATGTCACATTATTATAAAAAAACGCTATCATGTTTCAAAAAGAAACAAATGAGACTTATCAAAATCTGAATATTACCTATCGCACAATATCAAAGACACACACTCACCTTTCAAAAATATTATAAATTTGTGTTACATGATCTTTTTCTTTTTCTCATAAAAGAGACCATATTTGGCACATGTGTGTTTAATCTTTATTTTTATCTCCGAACAATAATCCACACCGACAATTCCTGACCGTTGATTAAACCACTTGATGTATGCATCAGTATTTGCCATCGGGGGATGTCATTCTCTGCAAACGTAATCCGACAAATTCGGTACAACCTACTTTTCTGCGAATTAAAAAATGGGTAGGCTGTTGTGTTTGACAATTTTAGGATTATTTTTATTTTAGCTAATGATTCTTTAATGTCCGATTAATATTATTATTGTACCGACACCTTGAATTTGGTAGTTGCAGTCTTAAATATATTTGTTAATAACATTAATTTAAAATTGTAAGTAGGTTCACAAAGGATATAGCTCGTGCAGCGTAAAATCTGGCAATAATTATGAGAGTGCAAATCTTGAAACTCCGATCATCCCGATTGGAATTAGCCGGGAAAATCAATGTCTGCAGAGAAGAATAATGGGAAATATAGAAAATGAAAAATAAATTTCTTTTATTTATTTATTTTTTTTAACAAACATCTCTCTCTGCTTAGCTGTTAATTAAGGAGAGGCTAAAGAAGAATGCATTACTCTTTACATAAATACTCGTGTATGATTGTCATTAAGAAAAAAAAAATTATTAAATTTCTCACTATATCATGTTGCATTATATGTCATCCCTCAAATGGATAGAAATCAGTACTTGACTATCATAACTTAACTAATTATCTACACGAAAATGGTAAAATATGAATACCATGTATATAACTACTCGTGTATGATTGTGGTTAAGAAAAAAGTCATCCATTACTATGTATGTAAATATTCGTGTATGATTGTAATTAAGAAAAAAAAGTTGTTAAATTTTATTTCTAATTGTATCACTACATCGTATTGCACAACGTGTCATCCTCGAATGGATAGAAATCCTTAGTTGACGGTCACAACTTAATTGATTATCTACACAATCACAATATGAAACCCTAAAAAAACGAAAAATGGTAAAAATAGGAATACCGTGTATATAAATACTCGTGAATGATTGTGATTAAGAAAAAAGTCGTTAAATTCTATTTTAAATTTCATCACTATATCATGTTGCACCATATGTTATCCCTCAAATAGATAGAAGTCCTTAGTCAATGGTCATAACTTAACTGATAATCCACATAATCACAACTCTGACACCCTAAAAATAAAACGGGTAAAATAGGAAAACTATGTAGATAAATACTTGTGTATGATTGTGATTGAGAAAAAAATCATTAAATTCTATTTCAAATTTCATCACCATATCATGTTGCAGCACATGTCATCCCTCAAACGGATATAAATCCTTAGTCGACGATCATAATTTAACTGATTATCTACATTATCTTAACTATGATGCAATAACTTAATTGATTATCTAAATGGTAAAACACGAGTTATGGTAGTAAGTTGACTTGGTTGATAATATTTTATCAATTTGGGACAAGGCACACAATCAATGCTAGTGTTTAAAGATTTTAAATAATTAGAAAAAAAGTACACTTCAAAGAAGAGTTAGAAACTTTAGCTCATTCCTTAAAAATTGACTATTTTACATAAATTATTTTTGTCTTCACTTAATTGTCCTTGTTTCCTAAATTTTCACGTAAGCATTTTAACAATATTAATATGTTAATTATTTATTTTTGACTTTCTTCTACCCCGTTTAGCAAGGTAGAGCACTCAAATCAAGAAAGCATTTTAGGAATTTAATATGTTGCTAATTATTGTCCTAATAATTTATGAAGAGGTTAAAATCCAGTGTCAAATCTTAATCGAGGTACCATGCTAGTATCATTCATCTAGCGGTGGCCATTTATCTATCATTTGCTTTTATTGCTGTAATTTAGTCTCTGTTTGGTTTATATTAAAATTGATAAAATTTTTAAGTCAAAGTCAATAATTAATTTTAACTACGTTTTATGGGATACATTTCAACTATACATATTATCATTTTTTAATCAAAATTTAATAAAAATCTAATTTTTAAGGGTTGATTGAGCCCC